TTTTTTTTTTTATTTACTATCAAAGTATCTCTAAACTAACTTTCATATACTTCAAAATTAATCCCTCTTTGTCTAATCTTAAAGGTAACACCCTACATTAACTTATTACATTAAAAAATTTAATTTCTTTTAATTGCTAGCTCTAAGACTTTGACATTAAACTTAACCTATAAAATAACATTTATTTATTAATAAATCTAACTTTAAAATTATATTTAATCTCTATTAACATTTCATATTTATTCCACTCTATCTTTAAATTCAAAATGATTTGAATTTAGGCCTTGGGATTCTTGAAAAAGTATGTTGACGCTAATCTATTTAAGTTATGTGCAGTACATTTTCCATGAATTACAAATTTTATAATTAAATCATCGACCAGAAACTCCTGATACTCCTGTGGTCTCTCCAATGATTATAAAATCTAAGAGGCAGACGGCAAATCTCAATTTGTCATGCGTGCGAAACAACATAATTCTTCTTGCATACCCAACAAATACATCTTGTTTGATGTACTACTTTGGCCTCTCAACAACAGCAAAAACTTGCACATTCTTAGATCCGAGGTGTTAGGTGTTAGCTTTCTCCACTTGCTCCTTGACCACTTGACTCGAATTATTATCACAATAGAGTTTTTGATTGATGAGTCAAGTATTTAAGAGTAATGCTGAAAAGCTAAAATGTTTGAGTTGTTCTTTCTAATAGGACATAAGAGTGACATCCACAAAATGACGTAAAGAAAGCATTTATTTCTTCCAAAAAGCTCACCTCTATCAGCCATGATTCATACATTCAACCGTCTTCGAAGCTCTCCAGTTATGTCATCCAAATTAATGACCTCTTTCTCTCTTCTTTCTTCCATACGGATCTTTTGGAGCTCAGCATTCAGTTCAGCAATTTGCTTCTCTAGTTTTGCTCCTTTATCAGGCAACTTTGAGATTGTTACCTATCAAGGATCAACAAAGAATTTAAAGAAAATGATTATTTAAACAGGCTATTGAAAACTTTCTAATGACTGCAATTAAATTGGAATTCTGTCCAAAGTTTCATGCTGATATAATTTAGAAATCCATACCTAGGTCCATAATCTGATTTCATCTTTTTTGCAAAAACAATGAAAAAACTTTTTTCTTCATGGTACTAACAAACAGGGAATGCAAAGATTTGTTGAAGTCTAACCTTATGGCCCAAAACAAAAGGTCAAAATCTAAGCTTGGGCCAACCATACCATTAGCATCAAAATGACAGATCAAATCTAAGACAAATGTCAACAAGGTATTATTATCCTAGCTCAATCATGGGTATGAGCATAGCAAAACCTGCCACTCTTGAAAATTATATTTAGTAAGCAATATACACCCAGTAGTGTGCATCCAGAAAGAATTTCTAATACAAAATTATAGTTACATAAAATCATACCTTATTTGCAAAAATTTGGGATAGACGAATGATTCTCTCTTTTATTTCACTCTCAGTCAATTTACTTGTAGCATCTGGGGAAGCAGTTTTCTTCTTGAGTTTCATATCCTTTGGATTGAAAGCATGTTCAGACCTGTCAAATGCAGAAGCAATTAATAAAAATGCAACCAACAGCACTGTAATATTATCATGTAACAGTGTGTAACATCAAATGATGCCTAAGAAAATACCCATCAACTTTGTGTTCAGTTGAAGAACCTGAAGAGGGGTTTCCCACAATTGCAGTTCCTTTCCACCTATACCAGAAATGGAGAAAGAAAACAAAAGGTAAGAACCAAGAAAAGCAAATAATACACTAATTGCAAATGTAAGCATTCAACACTGGGCAAAGTATACAACTGATTCTTTAACTTCACTCACATGTCACATCTGCAATAACAATCTCAAGCCTCTATTCAGTGCAACTAAACCATCGAAGGACACACAAGAGTTAACTTTTTTTCATCCAAGAGTCAGTTCAATCATTAAGAGCTTTTACAAAATTTTGGCTACTGTTTCTTACCATACATAGCTTGAGTTAATAAAATGTACCACATGCCAAAAACTAAACTGCAAAATAATCTCAGCTAAAATCTTAAATTGATTTAAGCCAGGGTAAGCCTTTTGGACCTATTGTCTCAAATCAGCGAAAGATTTTGATTGTACTAAATAAGAGATCAGAGGCACCTTTAATTTTTTAATCAAATTCAAAAATCAGATCAAAATTAAGTGCATTGTTTTAAACTAAAGAAAAGAAGCAACAAAGAGTCTCACTTTGTATCTTCCTCTTCTTCCTGTGCAACTGGTACAGGTGCTGCCTTGGAGAAGAGTAAACTATGATTACTAACCCCACCTATTCCAAGTGTCTCCAGAAACTTTATATGGGCTTCCAATGACTCATCCCTGCAGAATGATTACAGTTAAAATCAAGTCATAAATATCATTAACAGATATTGTGTCGCACAAACAGTTATACTGCAACTAGTGCAAGTTGTAAGTACAATGTCTGTATAGCAAAGATAATGCAGCTCATTTGTGTCGTTTCCATATAATAAGAAATGAAATCACTGACTTTTAGTTTTCAATTTCAGCTTCTGTTATCCACTTTTTAAAACTTAAGACTACTTCAGCTCCATTTTACTTGTTACAGTCTCTAAAAAGAGGTGGTCCAATTTACTTGTCAATTTCTACTAAAAACATAGCATTAAACTCTTCTTTTCCAATTTTGCCCCTATTAATAATTACTCCATTCTTAAGAAAAACACATTCCCAACTTCACTTATTAACTAGGGTAAATATGAAATTTCAACAAGTAATAATTTTGCTTTTGTAAATGTTGGTAATTTTCTCTATGGCAGTGTCAATAGAAAATATGACAAGTAAAATGGACCTAAGGTAGTATCAATACTAACTAGTTGCCAATAGGGCTTTCATACAATGGTAAAAACATAAAGTCAGTACATACTTGTTGCAAGTAAAGTGAAAGATATTTTATGCCTTTAGTATAATGTACTACTTTGCTTGTTGC